TATGATCGGCAATCGGTAAATCTTGCGCCTGATTAGACGCGCAGTGGCAACAAATGCACCACTCTATCTCCTGACCAATCGAGCGCGGTCGTTTTGCTGTGTCGGTTCGTTTCGGGTGAAATGCAGTATATGATCGCGAAGTCATATACTCGATCGCTGATTGGATGTTAATTAGATGGACCGCGCGCTCATTGGTCGCGCATTTGGCCGAAACTGACCGGTCAATGTACTGCTGGTCGGTTTCTTGTACAGTGGGCGGGCCACTTTCGCGTCCGTGAGCCTGGCGAAATTTTAAGGTACGGAACACCACCTAGGGATACCACTCGCACGAATAAGGAATTTCGAGGCTACAAAGACCCGTAGGGTAATGCGCCGGTGAAAAAAAAGCGAGCAGGAATCCCCTGGCGTGGCCACTCGAGTAATTATCACCCAATTTCGTGGCCACTCGAGTAATTCGAGGCCCCCCGAGAGAGGATGAATCACCCGAATGGCCACTGGAGAAATTCTCTCCTGTTTCAGTGTGACTCACGACACTACACTGATTCGTCAGTGTTACTTGTACAGCAACACGGAAAATGGTCAGTGTGGCAAGGTATGTTATACTGAAATTTCAGTGCAAATTTGAAGCATATGCTGAATTTTCAGGGAAAACAAAAATCTGAGCTACAAAATCAGCGTAATCAGAGTGTTTTACGCTGATATCTGAGGGCCTGTTGCATATACAGGGTAGGATAGTACACTGAGTCAATCTAATTTACACTGATCTCAATAAGGTGGCGATATGCTGTAGAACTATAGCACGTGCTACTGCCTCACCCTGTGCCTTGCTCTGCTAGTTCTGTGCAGTATCAGATTTAGTGTTTTCATATTTTGTGCTTATATTGCAAAAATATCAACTAAAGTGGTCAAACAGGTGAAATAGTAGTAAGAACGGAGTACTGTACTCTGTACCACCTACGCATGACAGCATGCCGTGAAGGTGTGGTGGTAGCATTACACAGAGAGCTGTTTTGATAGGTGAACAACGCGAGTTGCCATCTGCATGGCATGAGGGAAGTACTCTCGACCATCTGCCCAGGGCAATGAGGGAGGAGGGGAAGAATAGATGGAGGAAGGAACAGAAGATGTTTGAGAAACAAGCATTGCCCCTCCTTGAACAACGCAAGTTGCCATCTGCATGGCATGAGGGAAGTACTCTCGACCATCTGCCCAGGGCAATGAGGGAGGAGGGGAAGAATAGATGGAGGAAGGAACAGAAGATGTTTGAGAAACAAGCATTGCCCCTCCTTGAACAACGCAAGTTGCCATCTGCATGGCATGAGGGAAGTACTCTCGACCATCTGCCCAGGGCAATGAGGGAGGAGGGGAAGAATAGATGGAGGAAGGAACAGAAGATGTTTGAGAAACAAGCATTGCCCCTCCTTGAACAACGCGAGTTGCCATCTGCATGGCATTAGGGAAGTACTCTCGACCATCTGCCCAGGGCAATGAGGGAGGAGGGGAAGAATAGATGGAGGAAGGAACAGAAGATGTTTGAGAAACAAGCATTGCCCCTCCTTGAACAACGCAAGTTGCTATCTGCATGGCATGAGGGAAGTACTCTCGACCATCTGCCCAGGGCAATGAGGGAGGAGGGGAAGAATAGATGGAGGAAGGAACAGAAGATGTTTGAGAAACAAGCATTGCCCCTCCTTGAACAACGCGAGTTGCCATCTGCATGGCATTAGGGAAGTACTCTCGACCATCTGCCCAGGGCAATGAGGGAGGAGGGGAAGAATAGATGGAGGAAGGAACAGAAGATGTTTGAGAAACAAGCATTGCCCCTCCTTGAACAACGCGAGTTGCCATCTGCATGGCATGAGGGAAGTACTCTCGACCATCTGCCCAGGGCAATGAGGGAGGAGGGGAAGAATAGATGGAGGAAGGAACATAAGATGTTTGAGAAACAAGCATTGCCCCTCCTTGAACAACGCGAGTTGCCATCTGCATGGCATTAGGGAAGTACTCTCGACCATCTGCCCAGGGCAATGAGGGAGGAGGGGAAGAATAGATGGAGGAAGGAACAGAAGATGTTTGAGAAACAAGCATTGCCCCTCCTTGAACAACGCAAGTTGCCATCTGCATGGCATGAGGGAAGTACTCTCGACCATCTGCCCAGGGCAATGAGGGAGGAGGGGAAGAATAGATGGAGGAAGGAACAGAAGATGTTTGAGAAACAAGCATTGCCCCTCCTTGAACAATGCAAGTTGCCATCTGCATGGCATGAGGGAAGTACTCTCGACCATCTGCCCAGGGCAATGAGGGAGGAGGGGAAGAATGGATGAACAAGGGAGCAGGTGCATAATTGATTGGTAATTCTTATATAGAGGAGATGCTTGAGAAACATGCATTCCCCCTTCTTGCTTGAGCCCTGTGGAATTGTCCAGAATTGCTGCTCCTCAAACCCTCACGAGCTGTAGGGTGTTTTTGAGAATTCTCAAAAACAACCTCGCTTGACGTGGCTTCCTGCGGAATTGTCCAGAATTGCTGCTCCTCAAACCCTCACGAGCCTTGGGCAAGTGCCAGATGCATATACAAAATCTATCCACACAGTCAGGAAAGAGCACTACTCACATATGAGCACGTGGTTTAGAAGATGAAACAGCTGGTACACGCACTGCCGCTCCTCGAAGCCTGCCGCCTTGGGGATCACTTCGTGATACGCGCTGTAGAAAGCATCAGCTGCATGCGGGGCGGGAGGGCAATGCGGCTGAGTCTTGTTGAGAGCCAGGAAGTGAAGGGAGGGAGAAAGGACAGAGGGCTTTGCGAGGGAGGGAAACAGTGGCAAACGTCGGCTGCATGTGGGAGCAGGTGACAAACAGAGAGGTGACAACAGGGCGACACCGTTAGGTAGCCGAAGAGGTGCAAGACGGTTCAAAGGTTTGGGCGCATCTAATCCTGTGGAACAGTACATAGGTGGAATGTGAGGAGGGATGAGGAAAAATAACTTGTGAGAATTCTCACAAGTGATTGGAACAGTACATAAGTGGAACGTGAGGAGGAAAAGAGGGGAGAAGGAAGAGAGGGGAGAAGGAAGAGAGGGGAGAAGGAAGAGAGGGGAGAAGGAAGAGAAAGGAGAAGGAAGAGAGGGGAGAAGGAAGAGAGGGGAGAAGGAAGAGAGGGGAGAGAGGGAGAAGGAAGAGAGGGGAGAAGGAAGAGAGGGGAGAAGGAAGAGAGGGGAGAAGGAAGAGAGGGGAGAAGGAAGAGAGGGGAGAAGGAAGAGAGGGGAGAAGGAAGAGAGGGGAGAAGGAAGAGAGGGGAGAAGGAAGAGAGGGGAGAAGGAAGAGAGGGGAGAAGGAAGAGACTCACTGAAGCCAGGGAAGCCAGGAGCCGGCTTCCAGCCTCTGAACGCCAGGTCTGAGGTGTGTTGGTGGCATAAGGAAGAAACACGAGAAGTGTATCACACTCAAATAAGAGAAGCTTGCTAAATACCATGGTGAATCTGCAGAGTGCCACAAGGTGACTTTTGAGTCGACTCAAAAGTCACCTCAAATTAAAGAAGCTTGCTAAATACCATGGTGAGTCTGCAGAGTGCCACAGCAGCAGCTGATATGGTACAGCGCACACACTATGAGCGGGTTAAAAAACAGCACCGAGCGTAGTGCCTAAACCCTGAACCCGAGATTAAATAAAACAAACTACTGGATTGAAAGTAATAAGTGACCACGCACCAAACTCAGAATGCCCATAGAATCCTGCCGGTTCAAACATCACAGCCTCGCCCGATAAATGAGGTGCCTCAAAAGGTGTTCCGTATGTTACATGCATGTTACCGCACGGAATTCTTAGATGCATGTTACCGTACCGAACTCAGAATGCCCATAGAATCCTGCCGGGTCAAACATTACCGCCTCTCCCGATCGAAGCACACCCGCGTTGCCCACCTGGGGACGGATTGGGGAGGCCCAGCACCGACAGGAAAGGGAGGGCAAGGAGGGCAGGTACATAAGACTTTGAGTCGACTCAAAGAATCCTGCCGGGTCAAACATTACCGCCTCGCCCGATCGAAGCACACCCGCCTTGCCCACCTGAGGACGGATTGGGGAGAGGAAGGGCAGGGAGGTACATAGACTGTGAGTTGACTTTTGAGTTGACTCAAAAGGGCAGGGAGGTACATAGACTGTGAGTTGACTTTTGAGTTGACTCAAAAGGGCAGGGAGGTACATAGACTGTGAGTTGACTTTTGAGTTGACTCAAAAGGGCAGGGAGGTACATAGACTGTGAGTTGACTTTTGAGTTGACTCAAAAGGGCAGGGAGGTACATAGACTGTGAGTTGACTTTTGAGTTGACTCAAAAGGGCAGGGAGGTACATAGACTGTGAGTTGACTTTTGAGTTGACTCAAAAGGGCAGGGAGGTACATAGACTGTGAGTTGACTTTTGAGTTGACTCAAAAGGGCAGGGAGGTACATAGACTGTGAGTTGACTTTTGAGTTGACTCAAAAGGGCAGGGAGGTACATAGACTGTGAGTTGGATCAGAAGAATGCTGTCTTGATCCGTCTCGAGATAAGAATCCAGCAGGATGGATAGGAAAGGGGAGGTGGGGACAAAGAAACGCAAACGCGGGGACACTGCCGGCCGGCATGTGGGTACTGTTTAACTGATGATACGAGCTGCTGGAAAACACAGGAAATCCTCAAAAGCCACGTGATTTTGCTTTGGTGCACCCTGCAGTATAAGCAGTTCTAAAAACAGTGTGATAAATGAGGAACAGATGTGAGAAGGTCATTCAAGGCATTTTCACACACTAAAATATTCAACTCATATGGGTAGGGTATTACCCAGAGGTCTCCATGAAGCAGGCTCGGCCGAACCTCCGCCATAGCTTCGGTTGTCAGAATCCGCTTGGCCGCCTCAATCAGGCTTGGCACAATGTCCCGAAGCTCCCAAGCCTCGTCACCAAACCTATCCAGAACTCGCTGGTGAATAAATGATAGGATGAACGTGGATAAGTGCATAGCCAGTGACACCAACACAGTGATAATCGTGGATAAGTGCTGGGTAAGTAAGTAGGGAAGTAAGTACTGTAGATAGATAAGTGGTGCACATGCAATGTCAGTGAATTTTGCACTAAGAGATTTGAACAAAATTTAAAAAATATATATAGAGTCAGGCAAACAAGAAACATTCAATGAGCCCTGGTGCCTATCGGAAGAGAGGCGACACAGCAGTGAATATTGCAGCAGTGGATCTGAAGGAACTTTTAACTAAGCATATACATGGGACGTACGTCGAGGCGGTCTTGTAACCGGTGGGTGAGGAAGAAGTCAGGCCAGGAGGAAGAGAGGGGGACGTTGACTAGAGGCATTACGCCGAGGCTGGGAGAGGGGGGAAAAAACGAACGACATATACGTACATAGATATATGAACAACACAGTTGTTTTTTGTTTTTTGTTTTTTGTTTTTTGTTTTTTTGTGTTTTTTTTTTTTTCCGCCGTGGCACGCACAAAGCTGCATCGCATGGGAGCGTTGGATAAAAGGCACGGTTTCATGTATCCGTACCGTGTGGGCGAGTTGAAACCGAACTGGACCCCAGGCATGGAAGATGACACGAGGTGCAGCTGTGCCAACGACCGGCCCAGCTGCTCCTGATTGGCTGGATCCATCTGTAATGGAACAAGAAGGGTGGGGTGATATGAGGAGACTTGGTAGCAAAGCAATCAGGCTTCGCTAAAAGATACTTTCTGGCGTATTATTGAGTGATCATTCTACACTGGGTTTTGGAATTTAGGTCGCACCATGGCGAATGTTCGCAGCTGCAAATGCTCCATGATTATGAATGACCCTCCCTCTATCCATGGGATCCGTTGCCTAGAGCTGAGTCACACTATAACGAGATTTAGGGTCGCACCATGGCGAATGGGCGCAGCTGTAAATGCTCCATGATTATGAACGATCCCCGATGCGACTCGTTGTTGGGAGTAGTGGCAGACGAGGGGGGAGAAGAGGAGGAGGGGGTTCGAAAGTCCCCTGTTGCGATTGGACGAGGCACTCGCACGGTTTCCGTTGCTGCAATTGCTGACAGGCTGGCAGGGGAGGGGGACGGGGAGGGGGAAGTGGAGGGGGAGGGGAAACGAAGAAGCTGTGAATGACTGGGATATGGAAATGAACGAGGCGTGGGGAGGGGTACATGGAGACATGGTGAGAGTGAGGGGCATGGAACGTAGGAGGGTATGGAGGAAGGAGAGGGGTGAGGAGGAGGGGGGTGAATGACTGGGATATGGAAACGAACGAGGCGCGGGGAGGGGTAGATGGAGACTTTTGAGCCGACCCAAGAGGCGTAGGTAGGGAGGGGTACTTAGAGGCATGGTGAGGGGCATGGGAAGGGGCATGGGAAGGGGCATGGGAAGGGGCATGGGAAGGGGCATGGGAAGGGGCATGGGAAGGGGCATGGGAAGGGGCATGGGAAGGGGCATGGGAAGGGGCATGGGAAGGGGCATGGGAAGGGGCATGGGAAGGGGCATGGTGAGGGGCATGGGAAGGGGCATGGGAAGGGGCATGGGAAGGGGCATGGGAAGGGGCATGGGAAGGGGCATGGGAAGGGGCATGGGAAGGGGCATGGGAAGGGGCATGGGAAGGGGCATGGGAAGGGGCATGGGAAGGGGCATGGGAAGGGGCATGGTGAGGGGCATGGGAAGGGGCATGGGAAGGGGCATGGGAAGGGGCATGGGAAGGGGCATGGGGAGGGGCATGGGAAGGGGCATGGGAAGGGGCATGGGGAGGGGCATGGGAAGGGGCATGGGAAGGGGCATGGGAAGGGGCATGGGGAGGGGCATGGGAAGGGGGATGGGAAGGGGCATGGGAAGGGAGAGGGTATGGAGGAAGGAGAGGAGTGAAGAGGAGAGGGGTGTAATGGGGAGCATTGGTACGTGCATGGATCTATAAGCACGCGAATTGTTTTTACTACACGCACGCAGCTCACTGAGAAATGTCTACATCTCACGTGCATGGTTCGAAAAGCACGCGAATGGGCACAGGAAGGACAATGAATGAGGAGTGGGAGGGCATGGGAAGGGACATGGGGCAATAGAGGTGCATCTCCTGGGGCGCCTCAAAAGGAAAGGTGGCACTCACATTGCGCCGATTCCCGAGGCGTCTCAGAAATCAAGGGAAGGGACATGGGGCAATAGAGGTGCATCTCCTGAGGCGTTTCAGACGGGCAAGGCACTCACATTTGGGCTGGTTTTTTAGGCGCCTTGAAAATCATGGGAAGGGGCATGGGGCGATAGAGGTACAATCTCTCTGACGCGTCTCAGAAACGCACGGCACTCACATCTGTCTCAGAAACGCACGGCACTCACATCTGTCTCAGAAACGCACGGCACTCACATCTGTCTCAGAAACGCACGGCACTCACATCTGTCTCAGAAACGCACGGCACTCACATCTGTCTCAGAAACGCACGGCACTCACATCTGTCTCAGAAACGCACGGCACTCACATCTGTCTCAGAAACGCACGGCACTCACATCTGTCTCAGAAACGCACGGCACTCACATCTGTCTCAGAAACGCACGGCACTCACATCTGTCTCAGAAAGGCGCGGCACTCACATCTGTCTCAGAAAGGCGCGGCACTCACATGGGGCACGGCACTCACATGGGGCACGGCACTCACATGGGGCGCGGCACTCACATGGGGCGCGGCACTCACATGGGGCACGGCACTCACATGGGGCGCGGCACTCACATGGGGCACGGCACTCACATGGGGCACGGCACTCACATGGGGCACGGCACTCACATGGGGCACGGCACTCACATGGGGCACGGCACTCACATGGGGCACGGCACTCACATGGGGCACGGCACTCACATGGGGCACGGCACTCACATGGGGCGCGGCACTCACATGGGGCGCGGCACTCACATGGGGCACGGCACTCACATGGGGCGCGGCACTCACATGGGGCACGGCACTCACATGGGGCACGGCACTCACATGGGGCACGGCACTCACATGGGGCACGGCACTCACATGGGGCGCGGCACTCACATGGGGCACGGCACTCACATGGGGCACGGCACTCACATGGGGCACGGCACTCACATGGGGCACGGCACTCACATGGGGCACGGCACTCACATGGGGCACGGCACTCACATGGGGCACGGCACTCACATGGGGCGCGGCACTCACATGGGGCGCGGCACTCACATGGGGCACGGCACTCACATGGGGCACGGCACTCACATGGGGCACGGCACTCACATGGGGCACGGCACTCACATGGGGCACGGCACTCACATGGGGCACGGCACTCACATGGGGCACGGCACTCACATGGGGCACGGCACTCACATGGGGCACGGCACTCACATGGGGCACGGCACTCACATGGGGCACGGCACTCACATGGGGCACGGCACTCACATGGGGCACGGCACTCACATGGGGCACGGCACTCACATGGGGCACGGCACTCACATGGGGCACGGCACTCACATGGGGCACGGCACTCACATGGGGCACGGCACTCACATGGGGCACGGCACTCACATGGGGCACGGCACTCACATGGGGCACGGCACTCACATGGGGCACGGCACTCACATGGGGCACGGCACTCACATGGGGCACGGCACTCACATGGGGCACGGCACTCACATGGGGCACGGCACTCACATGGGGCACGGCACTCACATGGGGCACGGCACTCACATGGGGCACGGCACTCACATGGGGCACGGCACTCACATGGGGCACGGCACTCACATGGGGCGCGGCACTCACATGGGGCGCGGCACTCACATCTGTGCTTCCCCTTCGAACATTTCGCTCGCTCTGAAGCTCCTGTGCGGGCGAATGCATGCATATGGGGCGGGTGCATGGGGGGGGGGGGGGGGGGGGGAGATGGAAGGACAAGGCGCATGGGGAGGGGCACGGCACAGCATGGCATGGCACGGCACGGCATGGCACGGCACGCACATCCGAGCCTCCCCTTCAAACACCTCGCTCGCTCTGAAGCTCCTGTGCGGGCGAATGCACGAGGGGTGGATGGATGTACACGGTTTGGGCATGGAGAGAGGGTTTACGGGAGAGAGGGTTAGAGAAAGACATGGGCGAATGCATGGGGGGGACTGACGGAGGGAACAGAGGGATGATGCTGGAACATGGGAGAACATTTCAACTATGCTGGAACATGGGAGAACATTTCAACTATGCTGGAACATGGGAGAACATTTCAACTATGCTGGAACATGGGAGAACATTTCAACTATGCTGGAACATGGGAGAACATTTCAACTATGCTGGAACATGGGAGAACATTTCAACTATGCTGGAACATGGGAGAACATTTCAACTATGCTGGAACATGGGAGAACATTTCAACTATGCTGGAACATGGGAGAACATTTCAACTATGCTGGAACATGGGAGAACATTTCAACTATGCTGGAACATGGGAGAACATTTCAACTATGCTGGAACATGGGAGAACATTTCAACTATGCTGGAACATGGGAGAACATTTCAACTATGCTGGAACATGGGAGAACATTTCAACTATGCTGGAACATGGGAGAACATTTCAACTATGCTGGAACATGGGAGAACATTTCAACTATGCTGGAACATGGAAGAACATTTCAACTATGCTGGAACATGGGAGAACGTGTCACGTGGGTTGGGCATACTTGCCTCCTCATATGCAGAGAAAAGGGGACTGCCCCAACCTCTCCCCCTCCTCCCCCCCTCCTCTCGCCTGTTCACTTTAACGAAGACCTTCCTCAGCCCCCCATCTCCCCCTCCCCCACCCCTCTCTCCACCTTCCCCTATCTCGCTTCTCCCCAAGCCCCCCACGCCCCCCACGCCCCACACACACCATCCCCCCCTCCCCCCCTCCTCTCACCTGTTCACTTTTTCAAAGACCGTCCTCAGGCACCCGTCTCCCCCTTTTCTCATCCCTCTCTCCACCGTCCCCCCTCTCCCCTCCCATTCTCCCCCGCCTGTAGCTTAAAGCGTACAACTCATCAATGCACCTGCTGAAATGAGGGTGTTTTTGAGACGTCTCAAAAAACACCCTCACTTCACGCACCTGCTTATAGTGTACAACTCATCAATGCACGCACCTGCTGAAATGCACCTCTCTCACGCGCTCCACCTTCCCCCCTCCTCCCCCCCTCCTCTCACCTGTTCACTTTAACAAAGATGGTCCTCAGGTTTCCGTCTCCCCCTTTCCCACCCCTCTCTCCACCATCCCCCCTCTCCTCTTCCGTTCCCCCCCGCCTGTAGCTTATAGCATAAGACTCATTTATGCATCCACTAAAATGCACCTCTCTCACTCGCTCCACGTCCCCCACCCCCCCATCTCTTCCGCCATTCGCCCCCAAATCTCCCCCCCACACTTCCCCCCCCTCCCCCTCTCCTCCCCCCGCGTCCGCGCGCCTGACCGCCGCCATTATCTCCGCCAGCTCCGCGTCTTTCAAGCTCCCGCTCCTCCCCCCGCCCCGTGCGCCGCGGTCCCCGCCGGTCCTGCCGCCGCGCTGTCCGCCCAGCCTGCCGCCCAGCCGCCCTCCAGCCGCCGACGTTGTCGCTGAGCCTCCCGCATCCGACAGATCTTGCCGCCCAGAGCCCCGCGCCTCCCCCGCAGAGGGACTGGCGCTGAGTTCCGGATCCGACGGCCGAGACGCGTCCGGGGCATCGCCAGTCAGGCTGACGTCATCGTCGGGCGGAGCTGACGTCACGGCGAGGGAATCGGTATCAAATTCAAACCACGAACCCCCTGTCACCCACTCCGCATCCCCCCCTTTCCTCTCTCTTCCCCCTCCGCGTCCCCCTGCGCTTCCCCTTCCGCTCTTCCCCGCGCTACTCGCAGTCGCCCTGATTCGACGCCTGTCATTGGCATTGCGGGGAAACACCGTGACTGTAACGGGTGGGGCAAGACGAGGGACACATTTGCACTGAGGCCATGCCCATGTGGTTGATAAAGCCATTTGATAAACAAAGCAGAAGCAAGAATGGTGGAACTGAACACAATAAAAGGTTTTTATTAGAATAGCAATCCATGAAACAGCCGCCCTAGCTCAGTTGGTAGAGCGCAAGGCTCTTAACCTTGTGGTCGTGGGTTCGAGCCCCACGGGCGGCGCTTTTTCCGCGTCTCTCCTTTTGTGTGCGAAACCTGTTTGTGAATGCAAAGCTTTCCAGACATAAAGAATCATCCGTTTCTTTGTCAACCTTCCTTGCCACGCTTTTTGCTGCAAGTGCTTCTTCTACGGCTCGTGTTCCGCGCCGCAGCCTCGTTTGCTCTTTCTAGCACACGTCATCACGTCACATATTACGGGCTGTTGTAGAGCCGTAAAGCCTTGCACTCTAGCACGGGCTGTCACGAACGCGTTGGAGCTTAAAATCCGTACTTCGCAGAAGGCTTAACAGATCGTTGCGGAGCGTCCCACATGCTTCCACCGGCCTTGCTGCAGTTCTTGACGTACGTGCTGGAATCCGTTCTTCGCAATAGGCTTCGCAATAGGCTTCGCAATAGGCTTCGCAATAGGCTTCGCAATAGGCTTCGCAATAGGCTTCGCAAAAGGCTTCGCAACCGATCCCTGTCGTGGTCGCGTGGTGATGAACCAAATTGCTTGACCACTGACTGATCACGGATCACGGATAAGGCACATTCGACTCCTAGTTGACCTCATGTCTAATCTGAACGCCACATTCTTCTCACCGCCCTCTCACCGTCCTCTCTCCGTTCCCTTCATGCCCGATCCAAAGCAGGCTGATCTTCGGGTATCTCTATCCAGCGTACCTCTGCTTCAAAGCCATCAGGAAGCGACGGCCGGACGTCAAGGAACTGCTATGGTTCTGCCAATTCTGGTGCGAGTTTCTTCTATCCCTGTTATAAAAGAGTGTTTTTGAGACGTCTCAAAAGCCCTCTTTTATCACGTGGCTATCTCTGCTTCAAAGCCATCAGGAAGCTGCGGCTTGATGTGAAGGAGCTGCTATGGTTCTGCCAGTTTTGGTGCGAGTCCTTCTCATCCCCCCTGTCCTTTTGAAAAGTCTCAATGACCAGCTTGTCAAGGAGCTGCTATGCTTCTGTCAGTTCTGGTGCGAGTCCCTTGCATTCGTCTTCCTGTTCGTCATCAGCTCCACCTGCCATTGTAGGAAACACCAATGAGTGTCAACTCAGAACACACCTCAGTTCTGATGCGAGTCCCTTCCATTCCTGTCCATGCTTATCATCTGCTCCACCTGCATAACCAGGAAACACCAGTGATTCGTACCTTTTATTGTGCAACCATGTAATGCTTTTCATTCTGCCAAAAACATATGTTTCTTGGCCATTACTTCCCCGCATATGCTTCTCGCCCGCTTCTTTCAGGGTACTCATTGCCCTCGTTACAGTCACAGAGCGCCTGGCTGACCCCATACTGGAACGGTAAGCATTTGTGCAGGAAAGCCATCTTGGTCAGACATTGCCAGTTGCCCCAACCCACTCATTCACATCTTGTGAGAACCTTTCCACTTTCCAAGCTTATGGGGTTTATTTTTTCCACATACGGAGGGCAACCATGGGTTTTTTTTTTTTTTTTTTTTTTTTTTTGGCCAATGAGACAAAAATGTGCCGCTTTAATTGTATCCATTCCTTTTTACCCCTCTAAACATATTCTGTGTACTGGACAGGCTGCCTATGTATCCAGAGGCGAAGCTGCTTCTGGTCATTTACCTCTGGTACCCTGACAACAAAGGCACAGACCACGTTTACAACAACCTGCTGCAGCCAGTGCTGTTACAGAACGAGGAAGACATTGACAAACAGGTGGATGAAATCAAGGGGCGTGTGAGTGATGTAGTGAGCCAGTTGCAAACTGTTGTATCGGCATACATGCAGGGGTTTGTGGATGAAACAATCGCTTACCTGACTGCTGTTTCGGCCCAAGCAGCAGCAGTGGCTACAGCTCAGCAGCAACGGCAGCAGGCGAGGCAGCAGCAGCAGTGGCAGCAGATGGTGAGTTGATTTCACAATCAAATTGGCAGCATATTATCGTCTTGACTCTAGCCCCAAAACCCCCAATCGCCTCCACGGAGCTGCTCGCTATTTCTCGTTTCCCTTGCTTGCAGATGACTGGTGCTCCTGATAGCACTCTGGTTGGCACACATGTCATGCACACCTCAAGACATTTAGATGCACCACAAGAGGTTGCTGATGTTGACCAAGGACAGTCAGGCACTGAAAGTTATGTGGAGGAGGAGCAAAGCATGGAATATGCCACTGAGGGTGGGGAAGAAACAGTTCTTCTGCCTGATCGTGATTCAGCCCAACAACGTGGCTTTCTCGGGTTTAGCTTCCTTCGTCGTGGCCGTACAGCGGCCTCTCAAACATGAAATCCCGCTCCTTTCCCGTGCGTGTTTCTAAATCTTGTTCTCATGAAAATGCTCATGATTGTGCCTCGCATGGGGGTATTGTTCTAGCAGCATTGCACATTTGTGTAACAATGCTAGCAGACCACAATGGCTGGATTTCTCTAGCTTCACTTCAGAATTTTCAGGGCTGAAAGCAGGGGCATGAGGGGCAAGGTGGATGAATATTGAAGGTTGAACCACAAGAGAAGGGTACACTGAAGGTAAAGATCCTAGCCTCTACGAACGCCTTCACCCTTCATCATGTGGAAGTACTGAAGCCAAGCAGCTTCCAAAGAGTTTGTAAAGCTCCTTCACTACCCACACATGACCTGGCCAGACAATAGGCAGGAATGAGGCATGGCCAGCGTGCAGTTTCCGCAGCCAGCCTGAAGAAATTATGTACAGAAGGGCGCTGAGAAGATAAGCTCAAATTGTTACCACCTTGAGACTTTTGGAGTGTAGCCTCTTGTCCTCTGGACATAATCCACATACTCCTCATAGTGGAGAGTGAAGATGGAAGACTGGTAACGAGTCACACGAAGCTTTCTTCTGAGTGCATCAGTGATTGGTCCGCTATAACCAGCTTTTCTAATCAAAGAATCCACGGCCTCAATCTTAGTCCAACCTGCAGATAAATAGGGGCTCAACATGTTGAAATTAATAAGAAAACCCGGCACATATGAAGGCAAACAACTGAGAAGAACCGTGAGGGGAAAGATGGGAGAGAAAAGAGGGATGGTCAGAGAAGGAAAGAGGGGGAAAAGGGTGAAAACGGGACGAAGAGAGTAGGAGGGAATGGGGACAAAGAATACGGAAAGGACGAACTAAGGGGGGGAGGGGGTAGGAGAAGAGCAGCAAAGGAACTCACCTTCATGAAGGGCGACTTCTGGCAAATAAGTGGCACTTCTCTTTGTGTTTTGATGATCAAAAAATTCGAGAATCATTCCGTGTGTGCCAACCTGCAAGTTGATGCAACCATACCATACACGTGTAAATTTGTGTGAGAATCTGTTGTATTTTGAAGACAGGGAGATTACGATGGCATATAGCTCTCCCTGAACAACGAGCCCCAGAGCAGAGAAGCTTACATCCCAATCAAGATGATCAACCGCAACCTCATAGTTGGTCAGAACTGAAACAGTCACTTGGAGATTAGCAATCTCGCGAGGCTGTATGGGAGAAAACCGGCGGTCCCTTAACGCACTGCATGAACAATTTCGAGAACATGAAGATTTGCACCGTGTGATATGGATGGAAAGGAAATGAGGCGTTAAAGGGTTGGAAACACGTGGGTGTTTCGCGAAATCATACCTTGTAAGCGCGTAGTCCTTAAATCCAGTTAGTACACAGCGAGCTTCGAGCGTTCCGATGCAACCTCGCAGCCGAGCCTCACCAGTATCCGAGACTTTCTTCCAGGTAACAAATAGTGGGCTGCACACTCACACAGCCCAGAAAACCGATCAGAATGGAACGTTTTTCTTTGCCGATAGTACTCAAACTAGCGGCAAACAAATTTCGCGCTGCTTACTATTGGCCACCCTCGAAGGCGGGAGGAGGAGGATCGTCACCGTTGTAGTGGGATAGCAGATTGTCGAAACAATACACCGCCATTTCTTT